ACCCAGGCTGCAGGCTGGTGCTGTTTGCAGCAGGGTGCGGCATAGGTACTCTTCCATGCCACAGCCCGGGAGGGAACCCCAAACTACTGTGGCTCCATTTGTGCAAGAGGCCACCTCAAGAATAGATGGGGGAAACAGGAAAGGTCCATGTGGCAGGGTGGACAGAGGCAGGGTCCCTTGTCCTCCTCAGGTGTATAACAGAGACCACATGGGCCACGGGCCACCCCTGCTCAGACCTGCCCCTCCCAGACGGGCCTATGGAACGAAGGCCATGTGCAAAGAAGGTGGGAGACATGGTCACGGCTCACCAAGTGCCTCATCTAGTTGAAGGTGTGGGTTCTGAGGTGCATGGGTGGGACAGGAATTCAAATACATACCACGCTGGAGTCTGCCAAGGACTGAATGTTTGTCCCTCCAAAATTCATATGTTGAAGCCCTAATCCCCAGTGTCATGGTGTTTGGAGGTGGGTCTCTGGGAAGTAATTGGCACATGAGTTTGGAACCCCGTGAACGGGATTAGCACCCTTATAAGAAGAGACAGGAGAGAGATGGTCTCTCCCTCCTCCATGTGAGGACACAGCAAGAAGGTGGCTGTCTGCAAACCAGGAAGGAAGCTGCCTCCTCGACCAAGAGCCCAGTCCATCAGCACCTTGGTCTTGGACCCCCCCTCCAGAACTGCCAGAGGTAAATAGGTAAATGCTGTTAAGTCTCCCCATCTGTGGTGTTTCAACAGCCTGAACAGACGAAGGGTTATTGGGGGGAAAAGTCAGTTCTCATCAAGTCAGTTCTGATGTTACTTTTTCCTTTCTTTCTGTATTTCTTGGAGGATAGTATCTTGGCATCACAGAAACTAACACCCATTATGAAAAATTTAGCTGCCACGCTGGCAAAGAATGAACTTTGGGATATTCTACCAAATATCTCCCATCTATTAAATGTGTTCATTCCAACAGGAGAGGAAGACAGTTGCTACTTATGGACTTTATTTTGTGAAAGGTTACAAACAGGTAAGGGTCTCAAACTATTCCTTTGTCTCAAACTACCACAGCTTTTTCAAGCTAAGAAACAGCCAGGATTAACTAACCAGTCCAATTTGTGTGTAAGGTAACCAGCCATCTTGGTGTGCCCAGGACTGTCCTGGTTTTAGCTCTGATAGTCCTGCTTCCGAGGAGACCCCTCCATCCTGGCCAAGATGGATGGTCAGTCCGTCATCCTACTGGCACCAGCCTTCCTGGCTGTGACGGTGACATTCTTACCACAAACTGTCCAGTCGTACTTGAATACAAGCCAGTTGGTTTACAATCCGCCTGCCATGCTTTCTAGTTCGGTGCTAACAGTATCAAGTTCTGGTTTGGGCAGGGAATTAAACAACTGGAATTTTTCATACAGATTCTCCCCAGCGAGTCCATGCTGTCATGGAAAACATACATGTAAACACGTAGGTGTTTTCATTAGAGTTTAGATAGAAAACACACACACCTGCGGAGAACATTCATTCTCTTTAGGGACAATGCGAGGGGTTTTTTCCTTAGATTTTTATTTTTACACATCCTTGTGACATTTCCCTTTGCAGGGAGCAGGCAGTTAGCAAGGTTAGCCTTTTAGAGGATCCCATTCTACATATACATTGAACAAACAATATGGAAACAACAAGTGGGAAGGTAAAAAACATCTCATGGACACGGTTATGTCTGAACAACAATAAATAGGGAAAGACTGTGTCCTCACTCCATCCAACCACAGTGTTGGTTTCTATTGTCTCCAGAGTGATAGGTTTTGAAGGACACAAAACCGTGGGGTGACCTGTCACAGTGCTGAGTGACCTGGAGATCTGGCAACCATCGACAGCTCACGATTCCATATCGGTAACTACTCTTGACAGGATACTTCTCAAAGATACTCATTCCAACATGGAGACAGGAATGAAGATCTAAGAGATTTATTTTCCAAATATAAGTGAATCCCAGTATTAATAGCCTGTGCATGTTACCACCCATGTACAAAGTCATGAGCTGTGACAGTGACATCAAACGGAGCCACTCAGACTCACATAATCGACTCCCCATCATCGGTCTGTCCAGCCATCAGCACAGTAGGCTTTCCCCCTGACCAAATTCTCACCAATAAACCACTTACACAAATACCATCACCAATCATGGCTAACAGAAACCCAGCCCATCCTCGACTGTGTTAGAGAGGAGAAGTCTTCATTTGCAAAGTCCTCACCTCCCTCCAGTTGGTGACAATCACTAGCTCGTTTGGCAGATAACAAAGGTTTAAACGTGCCATTCCAATCTACTTTCTTCCTAGTCCCGATTCATAGTGTTTTTCAACTAGATCACCCCAAAGCCTGCGCTCCATTCCTCCTCCAGTTATCCATGAAAAAAACAAACTCTCCCTAAACTTCTTGCTGGAGCCGTTCCTGGGAGCTGAGACGTGCATCTCAGGGGTCTGAGGACCGTAACCTACCTGAGGGGACGTGACCCCCGTCACTGTTCCTCTGTGCACTGCAGACAGGCCTATGACACTGTGTTAGAAGAAGCATAGTCTAGACAACGTGATGTGAAAGAAACTAATTTGGACTAAAATACTGCTGTGCTGTCAGAGATACGAGTTTTAACGTGATGCTACACCTTTAAAGATAGAAGCTTTCAAAGCAATCCCCTTGTGCAAAATAAAGTGGATCCACCAGAGCACACATTCTATGTCTTAAACTCAGTGATACAGATCCGCCGGTCCCCGTTCCGTGGATGAGCGCGGGGCCTGTGCCATCCCCCATGGGTATTTCAGTGCTGGGTGACAGGAGGGGCACCCAATTTCTTCCCCAAAACATCTTATTCTAGTTAATGTATTATACGCTTTCTTGGACAAAACCCCCCAACTGCAATGACTTCTGTTGAAAGTGCAAAACCTTCCGTGTCGGGTGTCATTTTCCATCTCTAACTCCCTGAGCTCAGAGCCACCTCCACCCCTTAGCGGTGGGCGGAGAAGGGCTCCTTTGGCGGGCACCGTCCGCCTGGGCTTCCAATGTAACTGCTCACAGCCCTGTGACAGTCTAACATCAACACTCTCTTTATTGTCTTCAGGGTCTGCCTCCCACTGGGGAAATGAAATGTTTAGGTGCTGAGAGCTGACGTGCAGAGACTTCCAAGCATCCCCTGGTAAGAGGTAGCAACTCCAGAACTTAGGTCAGAACAATAAAAGAATATTTAGACATAGTGCCACATAAAGAAATGGTACTGTGAGCAGTTCATAATAGTCGCTCCCCCTGCACACGGGTCTGGGGCGAAGTCCTAGGAACGTGCGCCTACAGCACCAGTGTTGATCTGAAACTCCACAACGGCCTGGAGCTCTCCTCTCCATAAATAAAATGCTCTATTTTTTAAAGTTCTGCACATAGAAAGCAATCCATTCAAGCCTTACAGTGCATTTAACTCTATAACAAGAAACTTTTTCCTAAAGATGAAATCATTCAGATTTCTTTTAAAGTAAGCGATCTGCTTATTTCCTACGATTTCTTTTTTAAAAGACTTCAGAAAGAGAAACATGTAGTGATTTTTTTTTTTTCCCTTACAAGGTTAGTTTACTATTTCTGGGCACATGCAAATAAAATGTACTCTTTAATATGTAACTTTCACCTGGTTACCACGTAGGCATCTTAAGCTAAAGGTAGAGTTTCAAACAGATGCGAGGCATTTCTGTGCAAACTGGGGAAAACAGTCTCTCGGAGCGAAAACTCCACAAAAGGGAACTTTTAAGACTAAAAAGATAAATGGTATTCCTGTAAAAGTCCCAACTGGAAAGTAAAATTCCAACGCCTTTTAAGGCACAAATTAATTCGACACCTTTATAGGTTGAAAAGTAAGTTGGCGTTGCCTGGAGCGCTCTTTGGAGAAATTAAAAAGGAGAGGGAGGTTTGAGTCAAGAGTGGGCCTCCCCTCCCCTTAAAGTAAGTAAAGGCCTTTGAGTGTTGGTATTTTACGAAATCAGATACCATTTAAAACAAAATAGTTATCAAAACCAGTGTTCGTCATTGTCCTCCCCCTGGTTGTCTAGGTAGAGGACAGCCACTCTCTTCTCGTCGGATATCACTGACCTCTGGTCCACCATCCTCTGCAGCTGCACCGTCTTATCAAACGCAGCCTGCTCCGGGTCCTGGGAGCTCGCACCCGCTGCCTGGTCCTTCCCGCGGCCGGCATCCCTCCAGGTACCACTATGAGCGTCTGCTTCGGTCCCTGCGGGGAACAGGACCCTGGCCTCTTGGGTCCGGCTGAGGGTCGCCTTTATACGGCTCTCATCCATCTGAAAGGTAAACGAAGTTTCTTTGGGCCCCAGCACCCGTGTTCTGCCGTCTGCTGGCTCGCCCCGCTCAGGGGGGTCCACAGAACCAGCGAGGGCCGGTGTTTCGGAAACGGGCCCACGGAAGACAGCACGTTCAGAGGTTTGGGTTTCTGCAAGACCCAGTCGAATGTGCCTAAACGATCTGCTCGTGCCCACTGTCACTTCTGCCCCTGATGTGTCTCCCCCACTAGCATCCTGGGGAGATTCGGAAACGACCCCTCAGAAGGGGCTCTTCTCAGTCATCCGGACTCTCCTACTCGCAGTGTAGCTACCAGTGGTCTGGGTCCTGTCTGCTGAGCCCTCTCCACAGGCACTGCCTTCTGAGTCGCTAAATTCCCCAGGCCGGGGAATGATCTGCTTGGTGGTAACGAAGCCCCTGAGCACTGACTGTGACATGCCTGCTGGATGTGCCCTTCCCTGGCCACTCTCTGCTGTGCTCAGAAGCTGCTCTCACACCCAACTCCATAGTGGCTGAAAGGGGGACTGTGACAGGGACTTGCTCGCTGAGCCCCTCTCTGAGGCTTAACTGAAGGTGCTTCACAGAAGTCTGGGTACCCACCAATTCTTCTGTTTGGAAATAATCACCAACCCCTCACCCTCACCCCAGAAATAGGGTCCTGAAAACTTTCCCTTTGAGCAGGAAACTGTTTGGAGCCAAACACTGTGGCTCCCTGATCTGTCGGGATCCGCGGAGAGTCCTGGGGGGCCAGACTCTTCTGCACCCCCCGCCTCCCCACAGGCAGGGACGGGCCCTTGGGAGGTTTCTTTGGACACTTGACTTTGATCAGGACCTAATGTAAAGTGCCTCACAGGCCAGCTGGGTCACCCCGAGCTGGCTGCCCGGCTCAGGCTGCCGTCCCCACTTACCTCTCCTGCAGAGGGTCCTTCGGGGGGGACCCGCTCAGTCCTCCAAATCCCAGTGGGGTCTATTTTAATGTGTCTTACAGACTGGCTGACGTCCTCTAGCACACGTGACTGGGCAAAGCCCCTCGGGCTGGTGACCTCCACGGTGGCTGACACCGGACCCCGCGTAGTGACCCTCTCTGTGCTGTGGGAGGCCCAGCCGGTGTCATCGTCCCCACCGGAGGCGCTGTACAGTTCCTGGGTGGCCCAGCGCTTGAAGCCATAGCCGGCCGCCGGGGCTCCAGTGTCCCCGTCAGGGCTCCCAGGCCTCGGGCTGTGCCGCTTGGCCAAACTATCCCGCACCACCGACTCCACGGCCTTCTCTATGTCTCCGGCTTCATCTTTGCTCAGCTCCTCCAGGTCTAACTGATCGGTATCCACGGTCCGCGAGAGGTTGACTTCGGCGACCAAGGTCGTGGCGCCCCTGCCGGAGGCCTGGACCTTCTTCACGTCCACCGACAGGTGGCCCTGCGCGCCCTGGCCCTCCTCGGTGAGGGCAGACAGCTCCTCTCTCACCCGCTGCGGGAGGCTCTCCTCCAGCTGCCCGATCACCTCCGCCAGCTGGTGCCTGGGCTCCCTGAAGTCCCTGTTGATGGACGTGTGGAACTCGAGCGGTATTTTAATCTCCTTGTCAGTGACTGTGGCTTCAGTGTGAAACTCGCCACTTCTAGTTTCCTCTATCCAGTGCGGAGAACCCAAGTCCCCCTCCAGAGGAGGTTCTGGAACATCTGGTGGCTCCACGACCCTCTCCCCCGAGGCGCTGTCCCTCGCCGACCTTCTCCGAGACGCCGGCACAATTTCATCTTGCCAGGAGTACCTGATGGTGGACTCCTCCTCGATGTGGATCTGCCCATACACCGAGCCCTCCTCCCTGTCCTGCCCCATGTCCTGCCCGATGTCGTGCTCGGGGAACTCATCGGGTGTCGACACAAAGTAACTCTGCTCGCCCTCCCAGTCACCTGCCTCCGTCACTTCTTCCACGTGAGTTACGCTCTCCAGGGGCAGCCTGGCCTCCTCACGTCGGCCCAAGGAGAACGTGACCCCCGTTTCCCTGTCACCTCCCTCATCGCCAAGCCCCTTGGAGCCCGGAGACACGTCGTCCGCCTCCTCCACTCGGAACGGGGTGGAAAACTCAGCCTTCCCGCCCCCCACGTAGGTCACCGGCTCCTCGACGATCTCCACGTTGACCACCTTCGCTCTCCCCTCCCTTCCCTTCAGGCCCAGGTTGATGATGTCCCCTATCATCTGCTCCGTGGATTTTCCTTTCAGCTCCACCGTGTCCTTCATGTCCCTGTTCAAAAGGTAGTCCAGGCCGGCTTTGTCCGTCACATCGATCTCCTCGGTCAGCTTCGACTCCACCACGATCTCAGTCTTTGTCCTCTTGTCCCCGGGAAGCTCCTTCCTGCCCACGTAAGTGACTTTCGTGTCCGGAAAGGAACCCGCAGCCGCTTCTGAGTCGGGGGACTGCGTAAACCGCTTCAGGACACTGGACACGATGCTTTCCGCTATGGTCTCCGTCACGGGATCGCCCTTCAGAGAGCCTGCCGTGTCGCCGGTATCCAACCTGAGCCTCGTCTCTCTAGTNCCACTAGCATCCTGGGGAGATTCGGAAACGACCCCTCAGAAGGGGCTCTTCTCAGTCATCCGGACTCTCCTACTCGCAGTGTAGCTACCAGTGGTCTGGGTCCTGTCTGCTGAGCCCTCTCCACAGGCACTGCCTTCTGAGTCGCTAAATTCCCCAGGCCGGGGAATGATCTGCTTGGTGGTAACGAAGCCCCTGAGCACTGACTGTGACATGCCTGCTGGATGTGCCCTTCCCTGGCCACTCTCTGCTGTGCTCAGAAGCTGCTCTCACACCCAACTCCATAGTGGCTGAAAGGGGGACTGTGACAGGGACTTGCTCGCTGAGCCCCTCTCTGAGGCTTAACTGAAGGTGCTTCACAGAAGTCTGGGTACCCACCAATTCTTCTGTTTGGAAATAATCACCAACCCCTCACCCTCACCCCAGAAATAGGGTCCTGAAAACTTTCCCTTTGAGCAGGAAACTGTTTGGAGCCAAACACTGTGGCTCCCTGATCTGTCGGGATCCGCGGAGAGTCCTGGGGGGCCAGACTCTTCTGCACCCCCCGCCTCCCCACAGGCAGGGACGGGCCCTTGGGAGGTTTCTTTGGACACTTGACTTTGATCAGGACCTAATGTAAAGTGCCTCACAGGCCAGCTGGGTCACCCCGAGCTGGCTGCCCGGCTCAGGCTGCCGTCCCCACTTACCTCTCCTGCAGAGGGTCCTTCGGGGGGGACCCGCTCAGTCCTCCAAATCCCAGTGGGGTCTATTTTAATGTGTCTTACAGACTGGCTGACGTCCTCTAGCACACGTGACTGGGCAAAGCCCCTCGGGCTGGTGACCTCCACGGTGGCTGACACCGGACCCCGCGTAGTGACCCTCTCTGTGCTGTGGGAGGCCCAGCCGGTGTCATCGTCCCCACCGGAGGCGCTGTACAGTTCCTGGGTGGCCCAGCGCTTGAAGCCATAGCCGGCCGCCGGGGCTCCAGTGTCCCCGTCAGGGCTCCCAGGCCTCGGGCTGTGCCGCTTGGCCAAACTATCCCGCACCACCGACTCCACGGCCTTCTCTATGTCTCCGGCTTCATCTTTGCTCAGCTCCTCCAGGTCTAACTGATCGGTATCCACGGTCCGCGAGAGGTTGACTTCGGCGACCAAGGTCGTGGCGCCCCTGCCGGAGGCCTGGACCTTCTTCACGTCCACCGACAGGTGGCCCTGCGCGCCCTGGCCCTCCTCGGTGAGGGCAGACAGCTCCTCTCTCACCCGCTGCGGGAGGCTCTCCTCCAGCTGCCCGATCACCTCCGCCAGCTGGTGCCTGGGCTCCCTGAAGTCCCTGTTGATGGACGTGTGGAACTCGAGCGGTATTTTAATCTCCTTGTCAGTGACTGTGGCTTCAGTGTGAAACTCGCCACTTCTAGTTTCCTCTATCCAGTGCGGAGAACCCAAGTCCCCCTCCAGAGGAGGTTCTGGAACATCTGGTGGCTCCACGACCCTCTCCCCCGAGGCGCTGTCCCTCGCCGACCTTCTCCGAGACGCCGGCACAATTTCATCTTGCCAGGAGTACCTGATGGTGGACTCCTCCTCGATGTGGATCTGCCCATACACCGAGCCCTCCTCCCTGTCCTGCCCCATGTCCTGCCCGATGTCGTGCTCGGGGAACTCATCGGGTGTCGACACAAAGTAACTCTGCTCGCCCTCCCAGTCACCTGCCTCCGTCACTTCTTCCACGTGAGTTACGCTCTCCAGGGGCAGCCTGGCCTCCTCACGTCGGCCCAAGGAGAACGTGACCCCCGTTTCCCTGTCACCTCCCTCATCGCCAAGCCCCTTGGAGCCCGGAGACACGTCGTCCGCCTCCTCCACTCGGAACGGGGTGGAAAACTCAGCCTTCCCGCCCCCCACGTAGGTCACCGGCTCCTCGACGATCTCCACGTTGACCACCTTCGCTCTCCCCTCCCTTCCCTTCAGGCCCAGGTTGATGATGTCCCCTATCATCTGCTCCGTGGATTTTCCTTTCAGCTCCACCGTGTCCTTCATGTCCCTGTTCAAAAGGTAGTCCAGGCCGGCTTTGTCCGTCACATCGATCTCCTCGGTCAGCTTCGACTCCACCACGATCTCAGTCTTTGTCCTCTTGTCCCCGGGAAGCTCCTTCCTGCCCACGTAAGTGACTTTCGTGTCCGGAAAGGAACCCGCAGCCGCTTCTGAGTCGGGGGACTGCGTAAACCGCTTCAGGACACTGGACACGATGCTTTCCGCTATGGTCTCCGTCACGGGATCGCCCTTCAGAGAGCCTGCCGTGTCGCCGGTATCCAACCTGAGCCTCGTCTCTCTAGTCTCCGCCGTGTCGCCGGTGTCCAACCTGAACCTCATTTCTCTAGTGTCTGCCGTGTCACCGGTGTCCAACCTGAGTCTCGTCTCTCTAGTGTCTGCCGTGTCACCGCTGTCCACCCTGAACCTCATCTCTCTAGTGTCTGCCTTGTCCAACCTGAGCCTCGTCTCTCTCGTGTCCGCCCCTCCACCTGGCCCACCGCCCGTGTCTTTTGGGGGAGTGTGGACCCCTTTCTGGGTCCCCTCTCCTCTGCTGTCCCGGGACACTTCCAGGCTGATCGGAATCTCTCTTCCTCTGGGACTCTTCTCCTTCAGCGACTCCCGCCCCTGCGCCCTGTCCCTCCTGTGCTCGCTCGCTCTCTCCCTCGCCTCTTTATCTAACTTGGTCAGCTCTTCCCACCGCAGGTTTCTCTCCTCGGAAGCCCTCTCCTTAGAATCGAACATCTTCTCCTCTCGCTTTGTTTGGACCGTTCTTGGCCTGTCTCTCTCCTGCTCCCTCGTGGCCGGCGCTTCTGTTTTCTTTCCCCAAACAACGGTCCTCTCGTTTGACCAGACGCCTTCGGAAGCACCTGCTGCCACAATGTCTCCGCGTCCTCGGTATGACTCCTGGGCAAGGGTGGCCTCTCTGGCTAAACCGGCCTTGGTTCCTTCCGTTCTTGGTCTACTGGGGAATGTCTGCACTTGAACCTCTGTCTTTCTCGAAAGCCCGTACATTGGAGAGAAAGTTCTGTAGCTGGCTTGACTGTGGGCAGCTTTTTCGTAAGAGGTCTCCCGCCGGGCGGTGGCGATGGAAGGATAGCCGGGGCCCAGGAAGCGTCTCTGCGACACGGGCTGTGCCCAGCTGCGACGGAAGCTCCCCGGAGGTGGCTTGTGCCTTGGGAACAGATTCCTTTCATTCTCCCTCTGTAACACCGACTTGGTATATTGATGGGATGTGTTTCTGAGCGCTGGAGGAACGGAACAGCTCATTAAAATGAGAGTCATCGTTACCGTTTTTCATCTTAAAAGCATCCCCGCAGGTCAGTCCCATCCCAGTGTAATAAATACATACTATCACCACAGAATGGTCATTATAAATAAGATATTTTCAATCTCCAAATTATCCCGTTACAATAAAATACAAATGCTTCAGCACAACACTTCAGTTACCGCCGTTAAAATATGCATCTGTCTTAACAAGTACATCAAGCGTGCGATTATAAAGCACGATGCATGTGCCACAGAGGTCGGGGGTGCTTGTTTTTGGTGGCTGAAATTTCACAAGATTATGATGATCTGGAATCATTCATTTCTACGTGGTTGAGCTCAGTCTTACGTGTGAAAGCAGAGAAGAGCTTCGGGATTACAAAGCACAGAATCACCACACACTAAATGGAATTACCTCCACCATGTCATATGCGCTTGTATATCACTGAGTTCCATGTTGGCTCAACAAGGATTGAAGAACAACTTTTTTTTAAGCTTCCTGATTTCTTCTATTTTTTACAAAATTCTCATTTGAGAAAATGTCAGAGCAGGAAGCCAACCAGTCAGCAACACCACGTTGGGCAGGAAATGCCCCAAAATACTGGCTACGTGAACAAATGAGTTTATTGCTCACTTTCCCACACATTCTCATCTAAACTTGGCCCACTGAATAAAATCTATTTGGTACTTAAGAGAGGGGTGAATGTCTGTTATCTGAAAAATCACATCTAGCCCCAGCTCTTCCAGATAAACACTTTGCTATTTATCCTCAGACTGAACCTGTTCGGGCAGAAAGCATCTTGAATTCAAATTATTAGCTTTTCTTAGATTTACCTTGTGGCAGGTTCTCAATGCGCTTGCTCAGGATCAATATCTCTGGGTTGCTTTCTCCTTCCAATAAGGCTCTATGGAAATATTTTTTAAAAAACAAAAAACTCATTAGGAAATGAAGAGAAGTGCCCTGTAAGCCACAGTGTGGAGTCCTTGGTCGATGACCACAGTGTCCCAGTGTCCTGTGTTTGAGGACTCGGGTCTGGAGATGCTGCACCACAGGGATGCAGACCTGGGTGGTAGAGCATCCATCCAACTGGGTGAACAAAACAAGGGTCTAGGGTTTTAGAACTACTGGAGAGCCCAGCTCTTCTAGAAAGCCCTTCCAAACCCAGGGCCAGAAGGAGGAGACAGAGAGATGTGGGCCCAGGAGGGGAGGTAAGGGGTCTGGCTTCTTGAAGAAGAGAGGAGGGGCCCGTGCGTGGCACGTCACCCTGGGCTGGAGAACCCCAAACAATTAAAATCCCCACTGAGATCTTTCTGGGTCTGGGGTCAGGGGCTGACCAGGAGGAGAGTAAGGACGGACATGTGCTTGAAAACAGGCAGCCACTGCATCTGTGGTTTCCATGGGGACATCCTGGAAACTTTTAAAAAAGGGAGGCAGGTAGGAGAGGGAAAGAAAGCGTTGCGGACAAGCCCCCTCCCAGGCCCACCCCATGGCCCTCACTGCATCCAGAGAAGCATCCTGTTTTCTCCTGCAATTAAACATGAAAAGCACTCGTTTAGGGGGTTTGTTTGGCCACGTCGAGCTCCAAGAGTCTAAAACTGCAGCATCTTCATTAGGTTGTGTTTTGTGTCTACAAGTCAGAGCCCTGAGCAGACAGTGGACATGTCCGCTTTGGGCCGACTAAACGTGCTGGGGCCGGGTTAGCGCCGGGATATCCCTCGCTCACAGAGCCCCCAGGATGCTGGCTGCTGCGGGCACAACAGTTGCCCAGTTGCTAGAGCAACGTGTGAAGTCACTGGCTTCACTTCCAAGAAATATACTGTATATGGCAAAGGGCAGCCAGCAGCAGGGCCTGCTTGGAAATGCTGCTGTTGCCACTGAGAGCTGGGCACGGAAACAGAGGAGGGACGCCAGGGCCGGGCAGGGGCTCAGCGCTCCGGGCAACTGGCACCAAGTCCCACGCCCACTGACTCAAAGGTGGCGACTCCCACAGATGTGGGAACCCCGCGGTGGGGGAAAGCAAAGGAGAACCGCTTCTGATAAAAATAGCAAAGACGATGGTGAGATGGATTCTGCTCAAGGTGTGTGCGGATGGGTTTGCCACGGACACGGTGACGGACGTGCACACGTGTGCAGACGCCAGAAGCCTGGGACCGCGCCCAGAGCCCCAGCCATGCCGCTCAGGGGGAAAGCCAGGAAACAGGACACCAGCCCATTAATCCCACACCCTCATGACCATGCATTTCAGGTTCCAGGAACACAAATAGCTCCCACTGCCGAGAAAATGCTGAGTTCTGTATAGAATCAGAGGAGTGTTCAGGGTAAAAGTGAGACTCTGAGGGTGGGCGCCCGAGGATTCCAGCCACCTAGAGGTGGCACCTACAGCCGAGGGCCAGGGTGGGGCTCGGCGAGAGGGCCATGTGCTAGTTCAGACCTGGCCTCGGCCTGCTCAGCAGGAAGCCTCAGGTACCATGGGGCTTGTCGCTGGAGCTGCCCAAAGGGTTGGGGAGTACAGGTCAGAGGACAGATCAGTGACAGGTGTATGTGCAGAGATGTTCAGGATAAAGAAGATCTCTTGGGGGAGAAATATCTTCCCTCACCCCTAAAATGGAATCATTTTGTTTTGTTTTGTTTCAGGGAAAATCTGAACCACCACCAAACTTCTACTGAGCTCAGAACCCTGAGCAGGGGGCTGTGGTACCCAGGAGGGAGTGCCAGTCCCCCGTGGGCTTGTGTGCTCAGATGCGGGTCAGAGACACAGCACAAGCACCTCCAGGACCCAGGCCTGTACCAGCCTGGCTCAGACTGAGCACCAAACCCTCCGGAACCCTCCTGTCTGTCACCCACGACATCCTCCAGGGAGCCCCACGCGTGTGGCCTGTGAAGAGCATCCCGGTGAAAAGACTGGGACCCAGGGACAGTGTCTTGGCCAAAGGCACACGGCTCACTGGTAGAGAGAGAGAGGTGGAGCCCAGGCAGCCTGAGTGTTCACCCCTCCCCTGCGAGGCCAGAGACGGTGGTATTTCCTACAAATGTTAGAAAGAACAAATCCTGCAGGCAGCCCCTCCAGACCATGTAAAAGAAAGCCAACTCAGCATCTTTTGGTGATTTAAATCAAAACGCCCCTACAGGGTTCTCCTACTGGGGGAGGGCTCAGTTCCACATCTGCAGCCCCCAGTCGATGGCTGACACAGGCAGGTGTCACCTTCTGCACCTGAGCACCCACCAGGGCCTTTCCAGGCTCCTTAATTGGCACACAGCCCTCATGACACACACCGAGCCCTGCCCTCCTCCATCGAAGCTCACAAGACGAATAGCAGAGGCATAAACAACCCACTGATAATAGGCCAGAAATACACGATTCCTCAAAACCTCTCAAAGGGCCATTTTTAAGGGAGAGACTCATACAGCTTTAAGAAGTGGGCAGAGCTTTCTCCGGTTATTTTGAGGCAGGGAAAGCAGCCTCCAGGCCCTGGGGACTGTGAGATGCCAACCTCTGACTCACTGGCTATTCGTGAGCGTTTCAGGCGGCTCCACAGGTGGGCAGCCACCTAAGCTGGAAAATGAACGAACACATGTGGGGGAAACCAAGTCTGCAGCCTCATTAAGGAGTCGGGACAAATCCATAGAGCGGAAGGAAGTGACAATGTGGCCTCTGGCCTCTGGCCAGGCTGCAGGCCCTAACAGCCCACCCATCGGGGATGGATTATCGTAACCGAATTGCAGGGCATGTCTGCTGTTACTCCACACTGTGGGCACAATGCTGCCCCACTGCGCACCCCCGAGTGACAAGAACAAGGGTGAGGGAAGGGGGACGGCCAGAGGATGTTTCCCCAAGCGACACCAGTGGGGGGGCCTGCTGTGGTCCTGGGGTCCACGGTTCACTTGGTACTTCTGGCTCACTAAAGGCAGGTGGGAGCCGAGGGAGGAAAGGAGTAGGGAGCTGGGAGAAGGGGCCTCAGACCTGCTTCCCTGGCCTCCAAGTTCCAGAGCGAGTGGGGGACTGCCTGTGACCTCAGGCTTGGGACTGGGCAGAACTCCATTCACAGGAGGAGCATTCCCACCCCCCAGAAAGGGACTGTCCCAAAGCACCGGCGTCATGTGAAAGCTATGAGTAAGGACACGGCGCCATGCCTGTCTGGTCATTCCCTCCATGCTCAGTATGAAATCACATAGAAAGTCCACCAATTCTAGAGACTGAAAAAAAAAGTCAGATGATTGACAGAGACCAAGATCACCAATAAAATATGACACAGCTGTTAATGGGGAAACCACTGGAATTGGGCAGCCTGGATTTAAATGCTGGGCCTGCCATTTCCTAGTCCTGCTATCTTGGCCAAAGCCACTCAAACCCTGCATGACTCAGTTTCCCCATTTCTGAAATAGGGGGCAGACACAGGTTTGGGGTATAATTAGGTAGTTGGAAAGTTCTGACAATGGCTGTCACAGAATAAGTGCTCAGTTAACATTCACTATTATCATCAACATCGCCTTTCGCTGACCTCAGACAAAAGCTGGTTCCCAATTAGCTGAAGTCCTTCTAGAAGGGAAGAGATTCTGGTTAGCTGAGGGTTCATTCATTTACACAACAATGTGGGGAAGGCTCGCAGCCAAATGTTTGGGCTGATCCTACTCATTATCCAGCCTCAACACAACAACACTTTAACTTCAAATCTTTCACCTAATAACTGAGTTTGTCCCAGTGTTACCACTGAGTTCTCGAAAAAGCAGAATTTAATTTTTAAAAAAACAACGTGTTTCTCCCAAGACCTTAAGAAACCTCAAAGAAAGGTCTGTCTTTGAACACATGAAAAGGACAGGTGCCTTAAAAAAGAATGGAGCAACCAGAAATATCATTAAAATGGCGAAATTACAAATGTTAGGAGTGACCTGATTGCCGTGTTAGAAGTTTATACCTAGAGACGGTATTTTCCTCACTGCTGTCAGAAGGAGAAAGCAGGGAGCTCGAATGTCCTCCCCCTGCACAGACAAACAACGAGTTTTTAAAAAAATTTAAAAATTGATTTTAGAGAGAAAGTAAGGAAGCCCAGCCGGCCGTGGCTCAGCGGTTAAGCGTCGACCTAGGATCCAGGCGATTGGGGTTTGATTCCCGGTCAGGGCACATGCCCGGGTTGCGGGCTGCAGCCGATCATTGACTCTCTCATCATTGATGTTTCCAGCTCTCTCTCTCTCCTTTCCTCTCTCTGAAATCAATAAAGATATATTTAAAAAAAAAATTTAAAAAAAAAGAAAGGAAGGAAGAGAGAGACAGAGAAACATTGATGTGAGCGAGAAACGTCGATCAGTTGCCTCCCACACACGCCCCCAACTGGCAATGGAACCCGCTACCTAGATATGTGCCTTGATTGGGAATCGAACCGGCAACCTTCTGGCGTACGGGAAAACGCTCCAACCAACTGAGCCACCAGCCAGAGCACAAAGAACATTTTTTAATGCTGTTGTTTCCAACCTCACCGTTTAAAAGGACTTTCGCCTTAGGGATGCCAGGCAGTAAGTCTCTGCACTCCATTTTCTTATCTGGCCAGGCAAGAGTCCCTTCGAAAATTTTCTTTTGAAGTCATTTGGCCCTGCGTTCCAGTTTGTCAGGTGACACTGAGAACAACTGTCCTATCCTTTATCCCCCAAAATAAAAAAAACAAAGCCTCTTTTTAATGTTGACAGAGTTTGCAGCATCCGTGCCCCGGGTCAGATTATCACCTGAGTATCCAACAATGGCAAGGACCTCCTGGGGCCTCCCTGCACCTGCCCATAGACACATCCACCCCACTGTCACATTCCTGGCCAGGCGAGGCACCAGGGGCTTCCTGGGCCACCAACTGGCTAACTAGGTTTGCTAAAATCCTCAAGTCTTAGACTCTGAGGTTTGCTTTCTTAATTTACTTATGAACTATAAGTCTATAATCATGAATTATAAATGGTATGATTTTATTTTACGTTAACGTTTCCTCTTCGCTGTGAAGGTTACCAGGAAGGGCCAGATATCTGGGTTCGGAAGTATTCACGACACTCGAGAGCTGGCCTCAGCATAGCTGACAAATCCAGCTGGACCAGAACACGCTTTGAGCTTTAAAGGGCCACAGCCCTTACATATGACATCAACTAAGCAGTGCTGGGGGAGCGGCCACCGCAGAGGAAACTGGGACAAATCCACATGACATCAGTCTAAGAGGGAAGCAATGCCAGACACAGCAGCAGCCACCCTCTGCCTCTATGGACAGGGATGGAGAGAAGTCACACTGCACAGGCCCCTGCACTGTGTCCCCAAGGGGCTGACTGTCCCTGGCTCCCTCAGGAAGGCAGGGTGTGCAAGGAAGGTCAACTTCCTCAAAGACGGTGGATCAAGGTGTGCACAGATCCAATGAAGCCCAAAAGGGCACTAACACAAACATGAGTGTTCATGCCAGTCATCAGAATTTGGGGCATCAGCTCAAAATACTGGGAGTCACGTAAGAGATGACGAGGGCTTATCTATAGGACACACTCATCAGTGGCAAAAACACCAGGCTGCTGGCCTGAATGAGGAAATGGGTTATATTTAACCGCCTGTAAGTCTTATGGATCGTGAGCCCTGGGGGACGGGAAGCCTGCAGCAGTTCTCACCACTGAGGCTGGTGTCTGCAGTGGGCAGGCTCCTGGGCCAGGCTCCTTCTTTGCTCCGTGCAATCTTGGGCTTCAGAAAGACGTACTGTGCAATCAATCACTCGTTTCCCGGAAAGCACTGATGCCTCCTACATTCCTAGGAGGTGGCCCAGTCCATCCCAAATTGGGTTAGGGAAATGCCAGTACGCGCTATCCCTGCCGACAGGACTGGTGCTCTTGGGAGAAGCTAAGCTGGTAGGGATGTGAGCACTAACCAAAAACGTAAGGCCCTGGCCTCCCAGGCAAGATGCCCACCTGTGCCCTCTGAGTTTTCACGACAGAGAACTGAGGGGCAGGACATAGCAAGGCAGGAAAGGGCTCAAAATCCCAGAGACAAAGCACAAAATCAGAGTCTCCTTATTGCCAACCCAGAAAATGATCACAGAAAGGAAACAGGCAGAGCCCACTGTCCCTGTAAGGGAAAGACTTGCCTGGCATCGGGTATTACCCGATGGGTATTCTTGGCCGGCCCAGCATCTGCTCTAGAATGGTGCCAGGTTTGGGGGACCTCCCACCCCAGCCTCAGTGTCTGTGACTCATGGGAGGCTGACCCTGTCCAAGCTCTACAGCACTTTGTCCCCTAACCAGGGACAGGCACGTGACCCGGTAGAGCCTGAGAGCTGGGCCCTGGAGTTCTGTCGGGCTGGTTGGGAAACAGCCCCTTCTCCGCCGCTAGGACAAAGCCTGGAGCTGCCTGGGGCCCATCCTTACCGGTAGGTTGCCACCTCCAGGCTGAGGCTGGTCTTCACCTGCACGAGCTCCTGATAGTCCCGCAGCCGGTCGGCCATGGCCAAGGTGAGGGCTGCCTTCTCGTCTTCCAGGCAGGCAATCGCACTCTAAAAACAACAGAGGGTTTTTAGATCAGGGGGCTGGAGCTTTGCCGGGTCGAACTTGAGGTCCCAACAGTTCAGGACACAGATGGAGATGGAAACCCTCCAGGTTAAAGATGCAGCCATTGCAAGGATGAGTTTTAAATGCCACATGTATTCCACAGAGAAAGGTTTTTTATTATTGCATATGGAAGATTTTAAGAGGATGCTGGCTTCTCTGTTTATATTACTAATAATGAATGCTTAAGAGTTTATTAAAACATCTCCAGTCTGTCAATACAGAAAACCGCTCAACTCAGGTGCTATTGAAAATAAGTCAAGACCAGAAAGTAGGGCTTTAACAATATTTACAACAGAAATCAATCCGATTTGAAAGAGAATTTCCCCCAACTCATAATTCCCCCCAAAATAAGCAGGTGAGCTGATACAGGGCTATTTGTTTCACGTAGAAAAGCTACTTTAAAATCATGTGGGGAGAAAAGCTACATCAATGAGACAGGAATATATTCTGGGCATAAATGTCAAAATTCAGACCCGGAAATAAATCTTTTTATTTATTAAAGCCCTTACTCTGGTTAATCACATCTGTCCATGTCTCTCCCTGGGCCTGTGCATCCCGTCCCGCCTCCAGAAAAATGCCCTCCACGTGCCAGTCACACAGCTCGCCACTGACCAGTATAAACTCGGCTACAAGGTGAGAGTGCGGAACAGAAATACATCACCCCCTCCTACTATAGGAAACACAACCTAAATATTCAAACCTGACACTCCACTGTAATTTGTTCTTTTCAAAGAAGTTCAAATACTGTTACAGTGCTTAGAAAAAAATATCAGATGCACTCGATTCTCCAACCTTAAGCTTCCTAAACAGGTCGAAGTCCCTTAGCCACGCCAAAGGGGTATGTGCGAAGATGCTCTCCCGCCAGAGGGTGCAGAAGAGATCTGTACCCCCTAAAATACAAAGAAGAAAATCACACCGTGTTGGGGTTAAGGTACTGTTCCGACCACATTTCCATGGGAGTCAACTCTTCCAAAACTGTAAAAGGGAAATGAGTTGACTTTCGGAAGCAGGATCATAAGACTTATTGGCTCCCAACACTCTCCAGAGAAATTGTAACCCATCCGGCTGATGGAATAAAGCTTTAGACTCGGGCTGTACTTTGCCACAAGGTTTCAAACCCGAGGCCAGGCCCGAGGCATGGGGGGGGCCTGAGAGATAACCTGCTAATTCTAACCCAGGCAGAGGGAGCTTCGCCTAACGTGACCAACGCTGGGCAGAGTCACCTCTTTCTATTGCCATTTAGAGGACTTTTAGGCAGCATCACAACTGATGATGAAATGCTGGTCCTCACTGGGGTAAGCACGCTGCTGTTAGTGTCCAAAGAATTCTCTGTCCCTCAACCAAACTCGAGCAGCTCCTTGCCGAGCAAGTCACCGAGACATAATAGGAAGAGCTTTGCAAATGCCACGGTCACATCACTGGACGCGTCAGTGTTACAGCTCGAGGGAATTTAAATTGTCAAACAAGGGCTTGATGGTGATTCTAACTGCACTTCCCAAGTCCCCACCTCTCCTCCAGCTGGACGGATTCTTCTTTTACCTGTTTCCTAGCTGGGGTTGCATTTAAGATTTAATTAGAGGGGAAAGGGTTCTTTCTACTGCTGAAAACAAACACCGAAATCAGAACTTCAAGGTCTGAAATGAGCCACGTGAGCTGTGACAGCAGATGAATGGTGAGGATTTAGCCCACACGACACGCCTCAGAGAAGCATTTTCCAAAATCTACTTGCACAGCAGAATCGCTCTATCACAAATCTTTAACTCGAAGCTACAAGCTGTTCCCTTAAAATACTTCTGAATTTATGGGGATGTTATTTTAAGCTGTCCTCCCGAGAACTACTGATAGTATGATTTGGGAATATCTCCAATTCTGGCCTAGACTGGGCAGGACCAAGGCCAGCCCTAGGACTGGACTGGGTGTACAGACAATAAATCAGACACAGGTGTCACCCTGGTGGTGTCAGAGGCCTGAGCTTTGCCTCTCTGAAATAGCAACTGTTTATATTGCTCTGCACTTGTAATAACATCCTGCCACAGGGACCTGCGTTCCCACCACTCGTACACTACCCAGAGATCGGACTTCAGCTTGGCCTCTGGTTAAGCTCTTTTCTACACTACGGTTGCTGCCCCTCCCAGAACACACAAGACAGTGCCACAGGGAGCCCCAACCAGCTGCCTCCAGCTGGGAAATCATTCCCGCAAAATAAAAAAAACGCTTTTGGAAAACAAGTTAAGTTTTTCCCCAGGGGAGCCCCAGAGCCAAGGGGCTGCCGTTCCAAACGGCTCCTGGTAAGGACCTGACACTGCCTAGAAACCTCCCCACACAGGGACCTGTCGGAGAAGGAGGGGCGGCCCCTCGGGGCTTTTATGTGCACTAGGGACTGGGAAGCACAGGAAATTGAAAGACAACCTGGAGCTGACTGGGTCATTTGCCAGGAAGAGCCCAGTCATGTCAAGGCCTAAGGAAGATGCCCATTCAGGCCAGAGTGGCTCCATGGGTAGAACATCCTCTTGTGTTCAACAGAAGGGTGGCCGGTTGGATTCCGCTAAGGGCACGTACCTGGGTTTCGGGTGTAAGGAAGGCAACCAGTCGATGTTCATCTCCCTTTCTCTCTCCCTAAGCATGTCCTCACCCAAGAATTAAAATAAATAAATGTTGACAACCTAACAAAATGACGGGGACAGAGCTCTCCGCCAGCACCTGGCACTTGGCACTCGCCCACTGAGTCCATGGACCAAGGGACCAAGCCCCTTTTTCCTGGGCTGGAGAGATGGTGGGACTCTGAGGCCCTGAAGCAGAGCAAGGGATGCCGGGCAGTTCTGGCACCCTCGGGCCCGACCCCACCCATCGGCGACGCCGGGTGAAGGCGCTGCGGATCTGGGGAGGCCTGGCGCTCCCCTGCCCTCTGCAGGGCGCGCGCTGGGTTGGGCTGGGCTGGGGACAGTCCCCGTAAACGGACCTGCCGCTCCCTGGCCTGCAGCTCGTAGGCCTCGCGCATCCGCAGCAGCTCGTCCTCCAGCATCGCGCGCAGCTGCTCCAGCTCCAGCGCCTGGCGCTGCAGCGCGGCGGCCTCCTGCGCGCACAGCCGGCTCTCCTCCTCGGCCTGGCGCCGGCTCTCCTGGCCGCGCCTCAGCGCCACCTCCAGCTCGCGCACCTCGTCCTC